GGGCAGACCCTGGAGTGATGCGGCCACAACCCAGGAGGGCTCCGGAGGCCAGACGAATCAGGAATAGATTCTCCCCTAGGACCCCCGGAGCGTCTCACCTCTGCTGACACCTTGATTTTGTTACCAAGTCCAAGCTCGCCCTGCTCGCCACAGGACAGGCCAATGAATCCAAGAGACACGTGTTGAGGCCAGGAAAACGACTTCATTAGGAGAGCCAGCTGACCAACAAGGTGGCAGGCTAGCGCCTCGAAGTAACCATCTTGTTGGGGTCTGGATGCCAGGTTCTTTTATAGAGCCAAAGAGACAGAAGAATGAGGAACTCAAGTCAAAAGGCAGACTAGAGAGGGAGAGGCAGTGAGGAAGTAAAGAGGGTCTTCAGTCTTGCAAAACATCTTCAGGAAGAGCCAGCCTTTGGAAAGGGGTGTGTTACTCTCTTCTTTTTTTGTAGCCATTCATAGGTGGGCTCATATTTTCCTTGACTCCAAAATCACTGCAGATGGTGACTACAGCCATGAAATTAAAAGACACTTTGCTCCTTGGAAGAAAGACTATGACCAACCTAGACAGCATATTAAAAAGCAGAGACATTACTTTGCCAACAAAGGTCTGTCTAGTCAAGGTTATGGTTTTTCCCGTAGTTATGTATAGATGTGAGAGTTGGATCATAAAGAAAGCTGAGCGCCCAAGAATTGATGCTTTTGAACTGTGTGATGTTGGAGAAGACTTTTGAGAGTCCCTTGGACTGCAAGGAGATCCAACCCGTCAATCCTAATGAAAATCAGTCCTGAATATTCATTGTAAGGACTGATGCTGAAGCTGAAGCTCCAATACTTTGCATCACCTGATGCAAAGAGCTGACTCATGGAAAAGACCCTGATGCTGGGAAAGACTGAAGGCGGGAGAGAAGAGGACGACAGAGGGTGAGATGGTTGGATGGCATGAATGACTCAATGGACATGAGTTTGAGTAAACTCTGGGAATTGGTGATGGACAGGGCGGCCTGGCATGCTGCAGTCCATGGGGTCGCAAACAGTCGGACACGACTGAGCCACTGAACAATAGGTGGACAGGGATAGATTATCTCTCTATGAGGTGAACAAAAGCTCTAATTTACAGTCAACAAAGGGCAGTGTCCTCTGAGCCAAGCTATTAAGTATGATTATAATAACAAAAGCAACGAAAAGCAAGTCAAAGGAACAGTTACAACGTGGAGTCAGAATTGTCTTCCTCCCTGCAACGAATTCAGCCCAGTGATACTGACTGTGCCCTTAACGGCCACCAGAACTGTAAGAGAACAAATTTCTGTTGTTTCTGTTGTTTTAAGCCACCTAGTGTCTGGCAACTTTTACAGGAGCCACAGGAAATAAATACAGTGAGTGATCTCATAGAACTCACTCCTCTTATTCATTCAACAAGCATCTGCCATGTGCCCACGCTACGCCAGGCACTGCTGTTGGTGCTGAGATGCACGGGCCACGTGCCTTGCACCACGGAGGTGTAGCCCAACTGTGTGACGAGGGCCCAAGGGCGTGGATATGACTATCTGAAAGGGCTTGTTCCAAATAATTACGGACAGCATCACAGAGGAGGAAAACGAGAGAATGGTCATTTGAACGGATCCTTTGCAAAAGCAGCTTTTAAAAAACCACACAGACCGCCATAAAATAGTTGCACCTACTGTACAAATTATATGCAAGTAGACTTAGCACAGATGTGCTCTTCAGGGAAACAAAGCTCTCTGGATCAGAGCCACGGCCCAGAAGGCCTTCTGTGCCCGCCTGCAGGCCAGCGCTGGTCAGCCTCTGCACTTCTGCCCTGCAGGGATCACGGGTTCCAGCAGAGGAGGCGGGGCCTCAGCCCTCACAGGCCTGTAGAAATGACCTAACCCAGCAACAGGGTTCCTGAAAGAGTGGCTTTTCAATGTTAACGTAGAGACTGACGGCATGTAATTTACACCAAACCTGAGGATAAGGTCACGACCCCGGGCTCACTTTAAATGAGTCAAAACACAGTGGGCCCAGAAGACTCCAGGCTTTCCCACATGTAAGCTGGTCACATCCACAGCTGGTGACCTCATGTAGCCACCTGGCCGGTGAACCCCATCTCCAAAGCTGGCTAAGCTTCTATCTCCACCCAGGCGTGACCGGATAACCTGATTCTGCAGAATACCTGCTGATCATCTTGGCCACAGGATCCACTCTGTCTGAACAGCCCGGAAGGCATGGGGGCAGTCCAGGGCAGGGAGGAGGCCAGGATCGTCCGCAGTCTGCCCCATCACAAGGGCCCCCCACTTCTGGGGTTTAACAGTAATCCTTCTTTCCACCTCTTTTGAGAATTAACACATACAACATTTGCAAATACACTTTGGAAAGTGGTAGGTGTGGAGCCAAGGCCAAGTGATGTTTTTAATCATTGTCATTATTCAGTTGCCTCTGGAAACAGTGAACTCTACATCGTCTTTGTTGGGTGCAAAAAAAAAAAAATCTTCCTCTAAACCAGGTTTCAGTAGCTACAGCTGTGTGTGTTGGCTGATTCCCACCCCACCCCTACACTCATTTGCCTCCAAGATGGCTGCTCCAAGGCTGTTTCTCCGCAAAGGCAGGTCTGACTTGTGTCCTCAGCTCCTGTAGGGTATAGCTAAAATTCTTAAACTATCCTGACTGATAAGCAATTCCCTGGGGCCTTGGACCACACTGGATAGTCTAATACCATGATTTATGGTGGGGACTTGGGCCACATGGAGACGCTCAACCTCCAGAGGGCTGGAGATGAAAGGTCAGCCAAGCAGGTGGTGCTCTGGCTACCTGACTGAGCCTAAACGAAAATTCTAGAGAACAAGGCTCAGGTGGGCTTCCCTGGTTGTCAATATCCCAGGTGAATTGTCACACATCATTGCCAGGAGAAGTCGGTTCTGTCCAGGACTCCACGGGGAGAGGACAGCTGGGAGCTCCCCTCTGGGAAATTTCTGCCACAGGTGTTTTTTTCCTTGGCTGAGTCATGGTAATAAACTGTAGCTGTAACAGCTCCATTAAATTCTGTAAGTTCTTCTAGTAATTTATCAAAATTGAAGGTGGTCTCAGCAACAATGATGGACCACAGAGATTATCACACAAAGTGAAGTAAGTCAGACAGAGAAAGGCAAATATCATATGATGTCACTTACATGTGGAATCTAAATTATACAAATTAACTTGTTTACAAGACAGAAATAAACTCGCGCGTGAGTGCCCACTCAGCTCAGTTGTCTGACTCTTTGCAACCCCATGAACCGTAGCCTTCCAGGCTTCTATGCCCATGTGATTATCCTGGCAAGAATACTGGAGTGGGTTGACATTTCCTCCTCCAAGGGATCTTCCCAACCTGGGGATCAAACACACATCTCCTGCATGGCAGCTGCCTCTTATATTAGTCGCTGGATTCTTTACCACCAAGCCACCTGGGAAGCCCAGACCTAGAAAACAAACATATGGTTACCAAACAGAAAGTGGGGGAAGAGATAAATTTGGAATTTAGGATTAACAGATACAAACTACTGTATAAAATAAACATCAAGGGCCTAGTGTATAGTGCAGAGAACTATATTTAATATCTTGCATAATGGAAAAGAATAGGAAAATGAATACATATATACATATAACTGAATCACTTTGATATACACCTGAGCATTATAAATTAACTATACTTCAATTGAAAAACAAAAACAAAAAGTTGAGGGTGGTCTTGGGGACCCCACCACTTGCCATCGACATCAGAAGTGAGGGTAGTCTTGGGGACTGCCTCTGCACTCTGTAAATTCTTAACATTTTCATACCCTGGACGCCTTCAGCAGTCAGTCTGGTGAAGCCTGTTGACTTTATCCAGGATAATGTTCTTAACAGCATAAAATAAAATATAAAGTAGTTTTTTAAAAACCCACTTACACTGAAATGTAAGTATCAAAATATGTGCTTCTTTATTAACACATTAAATAACAAGTTCTAACAGAAGACTATCTAGTTTCGTAGTATCAGGCATAGACGATATTTTATGTGGACTGCTATTGGTGTCAAAATCACAGGTGTTGTTACTACTAGTGTATGCTGTTGCCTAGATTCATCATTGAAGGAGATTCTCATTCCAGTTAGAGGTTAGTAAGAATAAATGGTCTAATTTTTTCCTATCCAAGGTCACAAACCCCATGAATTCGACCCACAGACCGTCACCCTTCACAGCTGTGTAAGGGCTGCTGCTCTCAACCTTATTGTTAACTATAATAGCTAATACTCAGTGCTTGCCCTGTGCTAGGCATAAGAAAGGTGAAAGTGTCACACAAATCTGAACCATTCTTTTTATATTATATCAATGGATTTAATGGTTGATTTAGAAAGAAATGGCAACCCACTCCAGTATTCTTGCCTGGAGAATCCCATGGACGGAGGAGCCTGGTAGGCTACACTCCACGGGGTCGCAGAGTTGGACACGACGGAGTGACTTCTCTTTCACTTTAAGAAAACAATAGGTACTGCTTCTGGTGAGTTCGACATGGCCAGGCTCATGCCATGTGCTTCCAGGGGACCCTTCACTTAGGCCTCCCTACAGCCTGATGAGGTGAGTCTACTCTTCTTCCCGTTTACGGACAAGGTGAATGCGTCTCAGTTTAATCACCTTACTCAAATCATGGTGCCAGTAATTAGTAGAACAAGGAGTGCACACCCAGATCTCTTTGACTTAAGACAAAGCAGAGCTCCCCCAGATCAGTGGAATGGCACTCTGCCAACAGAGGGGGCTTTGAGGTGCCACCAGGCGACGTGCCCACAGCGTCCACTTGTGCTCGGGCAGAAAGAGGGACCACTGAGGGGAAATAGAGACAACTTAGCCCCAAGTCCTGCAGGAATTAACAAGCCAGTGATTGCCGAAGCTGCGAGGCTGTTCCTGTGATAATCATTAGCGTTCAGATTCCAGAACCAGGGGCATCACCGAAGACAGCTGCCTGGCGAAGAGCCTCCCTGGTTTCCCCGACAATGCCCTTGCTCTGCACCCGGAGAAACTTGCATTGCCCCGCGGAGCAGCAGCACCCTCTGCACCGGGCCCTGCGGACCCCGCTTTCTCCCAAGGGAAAAAAATCTCAGCGCTCCTATGTGACGGGAACTCCGCGTCTACAGAGCAGCTTCCGGCCGGAAAGCCCAGGGCAGAGTCCAGGAAGGGCTACCGAGCCACGGAGCGCTGCCTCCTGCTCGGCGGGACTCAGAGGGGAGGCGGAGACCTCCTCGGGCACCAGCAAGTCCGCAGTGTCGGTAGCGGCGGCCGTTCTTATCACCCGGAGGGAGCCGGGCCTGGCCCTGTGGGCAGTCAGGTGGGAGAGTCTGGGCAGACTGGAGGGCGGGCCCGTGGTGGGCTCAGCTCGCCCAAACCACGTTAGCATCACCTGTCACTTGACATAAATAGCCGCCCTTCCTACTTCCACCCGTGGGAAAGGCAAATTTTCAGAAACCTCATGTCAGCCTCTCCCAGCACTGTCAAACATTTTGTGTGGCACACGTCACAGTGTGTAACAACCTCGCATAGGTAGCATTTCTTTTACTCTTGTTTGAGGTCTGAGAGCCGTAAAGGGCAGATTATACAGCCATTTGGTAAGTGAGGCAAGAAACAAATGGCAATAATAAACCCAGATCTGAGTGGGAAGACCCAACTCTTAACTACATCACACTGACTCCCGCTGAGCTGTTACCACACCTGCAGCCCTTCATCCTGACGAGGTTCCTGGGGTATCTTGAAGCAAAGGCAGCATTAGACAAGGGTCTCTGGGTGCTCACAGCCTCCCCCAGCCTGCTGCCCCTGCACTTTGCAAGCCCTCCCCCAGGCCCCATCTCCCACCCCCACCTCCCTGGCAAGCACTGATGGAGCCAACAGGTTAGGCCATTAGACACTCGCCAACATGCGGTCAGCCTTCACCGACCACGGGTAGGGCAGGGAGCAGCTGAAATGAGAGGGTTAGACAATCCTGTCTACACAGGGATCATAAATGTATAATCCTCGGCACTTACCTCCAGCTTTTTTATAGAGAAAGCATTTCACAAACAGGTCAGGTTTAGGGTGAGTCAGACAGAAGCCATCCCATCTGCTTAGGTCAAGAAAACTCAGGTGGAGAGAATGTTCTAAGCCGCTCCCTGCAGACAACACAGTATCACGTGGAATTCTGGTGAGAGCCCTGCTTGGGGGGATTTTCACAGGGCCTGTCCGGAAAACGGCAGGCACATACCTTTCAGTCTCACCATATTTTCCTTTTTGGTGGTGGAGTTTGGGCCTGGTTCACCAAAGCAACTCAGGCCCAGTCCTGAGAGATGGCCAGGTCACGAAAGGTCATTCAGTTCACACACGGTCCTCCTAATTCCTGAGGTCCCCTCTGGAATTTCTGCCCTTTTCCTCACCCTCTCCCCTCACTGTGGTGCTGGGGCATCCTTCCTGGCCCAGAAACAAACCAATCTAGTAAAATTATAGCAGGCTAAGTTGCGGGTATCACATTTCCCAAGAGAGATGATAGCAGCTCAGCAGAGGACAGTGTGATGTTGGGTAAAGACTGGGCGACTAGTTTACTGCCTGGACTGATTGTGTAATTGGAAGGCACCTTTCATTTTTTCTCCCCCTTGCCTTTCAAACCTTTTGGCTCTTGGTTCTCTCTTCCCGTCCTGGGACAATATCTTGGGAAGGTACCAAAATGCTCTGGTCTCTTTCAGATATTAACCAATGATTCTGATTTTCAGACATTAAATATCCCAGGCCAATCTAAGAGAAAACCTTCAGCTCAGCCAGCTCTAGGCTCATCCCCTCTTCTTCTTTGGCCCCACAGCTGACACAGACACCCACCCAGGGGAGGGTCAGTGGCTCTTCCGCCTGACCCTCTACTCCTTCCATATTCACTACCTGCTTTGCATCTGCAGGTCTGGAGCCCTGAAGAGAGATGAGAAGCAGAGAGGGCAAGTGTCCATCTAGCTAATGGATTTTTACTCCTCTCTGGCCAGAATTAGCAAATAAAAAAACAAGATGCCTGGTTAAACTTGACTGTTAAATAAACAATGCATAACTTCTTGGCATAAGAATGTGGCCTGCCGTATTTGGGCAGCCTGTGTTTCCTCTGGCAGAGATAAGCTGGCTACCGAATGCCTCCAAGTCATAGAAGCGGAATTTGTTCCCCATTGCTGCCCTAACTGCCACCAACTTAGAGGCTTAAAGTAACAGACGTTGATTCTCTCACAGTTCTTGAGATCTGAAGTCAGAAATGGACTGCATTCCTTCTGGAGGCTCCAAGGGAGAACCCCTCTCCTGGCCTCTCTCAGCTTTTAGGACCTACCTGAATTTCTTGGCGTGTGGCCCTCTCCACCATCTTCCAAGCCAGCACCATCTTCTCTCTGACTTCTGTTCTCTTCCCTCTCTTAAAATGACTCTTGTGACTATATTAGACCTGCCTGGCTAATCAGGATAATTTTCCCATTTCAAGATCCTTAACTTAATCACATCTGCAAAGTCCTTTTTGTAATTAAGGCAATATAATTACAGGTCCTGGAGATTAGGACATATCTTTGCCAATTGTCTACAGGCAAGCTTTTCCCCTATTCTTCAAGGGGGCCATTGGTGGGTTCTTGAAGATCCCTTGCTGGGGATCCCCAGCACTGCCCCGTTCTCTGACCCAGGAGACATGGGTGATGCCCCCTCCAGCTAACTTTCTACAAACATCTCTTAGCTCCTGCTTGAAAGTTCAGCCCACAGAGGCACTTTTTTTTATTGGAGTGACCCTTTCTGAGCAGATGGAAATCTTGGGTGGGATGCTTTCAAGACCCATGAGCCTAGGTATCTCCCAGGGTATCAGTCAGGTCACCTTGAACCCCAACGAAACATTCCAGCCATGGCCCAAAAATTCTGGAAGTGAACACCATATTCAAGAAATAATTTAATGAAGCCACCTGAAGTGGCATGTTCTTTCTCATTAAAGAAATCCTCAGATCTCTCAGCAATCTTTAAATTTTCTTAGATCCAGGCTGGAGGTGGGTGATGTCCCAAGACCAGAAGTTGCCAAACCAGTTTGGATACTTCTTAGCAAGTTCTTCATGAATGGTCTAGCATCTCTCTTTAAAATGTGTGTGTTGGTGCTCGCTTCTGCAGCACATATACTAAAATTGGAACGATACAGAGAAGATTAGCATGGCCCCTGCACAAGGATGACACGCAAATTCGTGAAACGTTCCATATTTTTCAGCACTGTTTATAATAGCCAGGACATGGAAGCAAGCTAGATGCCCATCAGCAGACGAATGGATAAGGAAGCTGTGGTACATATACACCATGGAATATTACTCAGCCATTAAAAAGAATTCATTTGAATCAGTTCTAATGAGATGGATGAAACTGGAGCCCATTATACAGAGTGAAGTAAGCCAGAAACATAAAGACCATTACAGTATACTAACACATATATATGGAATTTAGAAAGATGGTAACGATAACCCTATATGCAAAACAGAAAAAGAGACTCAGATGTATAGAACAGACTTGTGGACTCTGGGAGAAGGCAAGGGTGGGATGTTTCAAGAGAACAGCATCGAAACATGTATATTATCTAGGGTGAAACAGATCACCAGCCCAGGTTGGATGCATGAGACAAGTGCTTGGGCCTGGTGCACTGGGAAGACCCAGAGCGATTGGGTGGAGAGGGAGGTGGGAGGGGGGACCGGGATGGGGAATACATGTAAATCCATGGCTAATTCATTTCAATGTATGACAAAAACCACTGCAATGTTGTAAAGTAATTAGCCTCCAACTAATAAAAATAAATGAAAAAAGAAAAAAAAATAAAATGTGTGTGTTGGTAGAAGTGGGGAGTGGGAGGCGGGGAGTGGGAGGCGGGGAGTGGGGATCACCTATTATTCTAGGTTTTGGATTTTAGCCAATATCCCCAGACAACTGGAAAAGTCCAGCCCATCCTTCTGGACAAAGAAAAAGGTGATCCCGAAAATAAATTTGCAGTGAAGTGTGGAGTCACCTGTCTGGGAAGTACTAACATTTAACAGAGGAGAGAGCAATGATTGACTCGAAAGTATGCATCACTAATGGAAAACTGCCTCACATCAATGATACACCTCCCCAGGAAGCCCATCACACACCTGGTGCTGCCTACCTGAGCCCAGCATCCACATTCTGCAGGGGGAGCCAGGCCTAAGACACACCTTCAAGCAGGAGACAGATGGGCCCCAGGCTGAGCAGCTGGAGTTCCCCTCTGTGGACAGATACTCCAAAATAACAGGAGAGGAGACAGTTGAGCCCTGCCCAGATAAGAGATAAAAGACTACATATTCCTCATTCTCGAAGTCAAGGAAATCTCCTTGACTACATGTGCACAGAAAGGCTCCTTGGAGGTCAAAAAAGGCAGGTGACATCACCCCATAGTAAGTGATGTCAACCTCTCTATCCACAGGCCTCCTCACTGGGTTCATCTTGGCTAAGTGATGCACACACACACACGGGAGGATCTGGAGAGAAACCAAATATGGACTCAGAACCAGGCAAAACAAGGTGACTGGCTAAAGGATACCCAGAATAAATGCCCCATGTGTGATTCAAATTACCGCAAGAGCACGACTCTCTCTGAGCCCACCCGTGTGTCTGTTTGCACATCCCCTTTTCTCCTCCTAATATATTACTTGTTTCACTCCTCTCCATCTCATTTCTACACAGGCTGCTGGTCTAGTGGCTAGGATTCCGTGCTGTCAGTGCTGTGGCCTGACTTCAGTCTCTGGCTGAGAATCTAAATCCTGCTTCAAGCCACTGCAGGCCAAGATCAACCTGAGTTGGCAGGAAGAGCCCACGATGACCCATGGGACGGCAGCTGGAATGGTGCTGGGAGGGCCCACAGGCGGGGCTTGCACGCCCACCCTGTAGGTCTGGAGTGGACCTACTTGGTGAGAAAAGGGATCTCAACCAGCGTCCACCTCTGCCGTGGACACAGGCTCCGAGCAGCGGCTTGGAATGCTCCGAGAGCTGGAAGGTGCAGCTGCGGAAGGTGACTGCAGAGTCGGTCGTGCTTGGGAATACTGACCCCCCCACTTAAAAGTTGTGTGACATCGGGGTTCTTTCTTAACCTGTGAGCTCCCATCTCTATAAACTGGTGGAAAGCTATCTCTGATCTAGGATTCTTATGAAGAATAAACGAGGTAATGTTTGCAGAGCACCAGGGACCCAATAAATACTGTCTCTCTTTCCTCTTCTAAAACGCCCTCAGGTCAGACACCTTTTCTTTGTGTCTATATCAGTGGGTGTATTTACCATTCAGTCCCTCCTTCAAGCAGGTGCAAATCCATCTGGGACTAAGGACATCCTTCAGCAGTGGCCCCTTCTGGCTGTGACACAGTTTCTCTGGCATTGACTTTTGGGTGTGCCTCTGGTTGGAATTCTGCAGGGACGGGTTTTCAGTTTATAAAGATCAGGTGGTTTTGCTATGAGCCCGTGAGCTAATTTCACCCCCTACACACTACACACACACACACACCACACACACACACACACACACACACACACACCCCTCACTGGAGGTCTGGGAGAGGGGAGCAGAGCAGAACCGTGCCACCGCCCCACCTCCCACCCAGGACAGCTGCATAAAGCAGGTGTCATGGAATGTTTCCCACTTACTCCAGAGAAACCATTTCAATCCAAGTTCGGAGCAGCCCGTCCCTCCTCGTATAACACGAGGTGCTGGACTAAGCACTTTAACTGCATCTTCTCTTGTCTCACAGCAAGCCCGTGAGACTGGCGGTTTATTACACCTAACTCGCAGAGAAGGAACAGGGCACAAAGATGCTCTAACGTGAGCTGACAGTGTCTCCACCAGAGCTGACCCCCTCCCCGGTCTATGCAGCAGAGCCTCCGCTCTCCCTGAAGGTGAGACCTGCTCCACCTGTCCCCTGCAAGTCATCTGACCCAATACAAATGTCGGAGAAGCTCCCCCCTCCAAGAGCACTAGCAGCTTCGCCTTCCCTCCAACCCAAGTACCCCCCAAAGGCAGGAGGAAAGCCTGCCACACTGATCCACTCACATCTGCTGTCCCCCAACTCGGACGGGCGGGTCATCCCTCCCCCACCCCCAGCAGGGGGCCTGGCTCCGGGGTGTGTGCGTCGTGGGGGCTTCAGAAGGCTCAACGAGGCCTGGGAGGTGCTGGGTGGACGGCAGGACACAGGGGCTCTGCAGGCCCTCTGCCTGCTAGGGCAGGGGGTGGTGAGTAGGAAGAGGACCCAGCACCCAGGGGGATCTGCAGAGGTGGGCCACGCAGCCCTCTGCCCTCCGCCTTTACATTTCCGAAGAGGCCTGTGGGGCAGGCCAGAGAGCTTCTGCCATCAGGGGAGCCAGAGCAGAGCTGATTCATTGACAGGTGTGAACAAAGCCCGGGCAGGCATAGGGATGGGAGGCTGGTGAGCGCAGAGCAGCCAGTTCCGGCTTCTCCCTTGACCTGACCTACCCATGACCTGCTCCTCCTCTGCAGAACCAGGAAGGGAGGGGACAGACACCACCTTCAGCTCCAAAAAGAGATCAGATGCCATTCTTCTGGAGCTCCCAGTCCAAAAGGAGGCTCCAGAGACTCAGTGGCCACCCTCACACCAACAGCTCGTGTTTGAGCAGCCTGTGACCTTTTTTTAGGCCATTTCATGATACAAGTCCACAGTTTTGATTAACCAAAATCACTGCAGATGGTGACTGCAGCCATGAAATTAAAAGACGCTTACTCCTTGGAAGGAAAGTTATGACCAACCCAGAAAGCATATTAAAAAGCAGAGACATTACTTTGCCAACAAAGGTCCTTCTAGTCAAGGCTATGGTTTTTCCAGTGGTCATGTACGGATGTGAGAGTTGGACGGTGAAGAAAGCTGAGCATCGAAAAATTGATGCTTTTGAACTGTGATGTTGGAGAAGACTCTTGAGAGTCACTTGGACTGCAAGGAGATCCAACCAGTCCATCCTAAAGGAGATCAGTCCTGGGTGTTCATTGGAAGGACTGATGCTGAAGCTGAAACACCAATACTTTGGCCACTTCATGAGAAGAGCTGACTCACTGGAAAAGACCTCGATGCTGGGAGGGGTTGGGGGCAGGAGGAGAAGGGGACAACAGAGGATGAGATGGCTGGATGGCATCACCGACTCGATGGACATGAGTTTGAGTAAACTCTGGGAGTTAGTGATGGACAGGGAGGCCTGGCGTGCTGCGATTCATGGGGTTGCAAAGAGTCAGACACAACTGAGCGACTGAACTGAACTGAACGACTGAACTGAACTGAACTGAACCCTTCCGTCTTTATGCATCTCCCCTACCAGCCCAGCAAGCCTTTGTTGATTGACTCCCTTGGGAATTCACGAGAGCCTCCCAGGAGTCTGGGAGGTGGTCAGGGTTACAAATCTAGGCTTCCAGATGGTAGGAAGGGAACTGACATTCGTTAGGGACAGGGTGCTCGATTTAGCAAATAAAAGCATGTGGTTCCCAATTAAATTTGAACTTCAGCTAAACAGCAAGTAAGTTTTTCAGTGTAAGTGTGTCTTACGGGTATTTGGGATACACCTACCCTAAATAAATTCTTGTGTATATCTCAAATTCAGATTTATCCAGCATCCTGTATTTTGTTGAATAACCCTAGCTAGAGGCCCGGTATACACCAGATGTCGTCTCTACCTTCTCTCATTTGAGCCTCATACAGTCCTGGGAAGGAGAGATTAGTAAGGTATGTTGACCTCACTGTACAGATAACAAAAAGGATACTTAGGGAGATAACCTGATTTGCTTAATATACCTCAGTCCAGAAAAAGTGGGTGAAGACTAGAGCCTTGAGTCTCTGACCTGCCAGGGCAAGGCTGTTTCCTCTACCCTACAGTTTAGGAGGCCTGAGGTTTCAGAGTGGAGAAGGGCTTGGGGATTTCCACAGCGCTATGGTCAGAGATGATGGATCCTAGGAGGAGACTCTGTTCTTAGAGCAGAGCCCAGGCACCCGGACCAAGTCCACCAGGGGTCCTAGGGGCAGCACCACACAGGTGGGCAGGGATGTGCCCCACAGCACAGTTCACAATTAGTGCCTTTGCACCCAAGTCTTTTAGGATCATGTGTGGAATGCCTGCATGCTACATGAATAACAACCCAGTAATAACAATAGTGAAGTCACTCAGTGTATCCGATTCTTTGTAACCCCATGGACTGCAGCACACCAGGCTCCTCCATCCATGGGATTTTCCAGGCAAAAGTACTGAAGTGGGTTGCCATTTCCTTCTCCAGGGGATCTTCCCAACCCAGGGATTGAACCCGGGTTCTCCCACATTGCAGACAGATGCTTTACCATCTGAGCCCCCACCAGGGGTGGGGTAACATCACCCCATTTAACACAAATGACAACCCTATAGTTATCCACATGTCAGATGAGGATCAGAGAAGTTAAGGGCCAAGATCACACACATAGCTGTCAGAATTCAAACCCAAATCTACCTTCTGAAGCCCGTGTACTTTCCCGGCCCCTCTTACCAAGAGAGCTTGTCCCTGTGGAAGGTCCCCAGACAGAACACAATGGTAGTAGCAGCCAGCTCTTCCACACTCCTCCTCCACCCAGACAAAGGAATCCATATCAAAACACAGCCTCACTTCCCCTCAGGGTCAATCTGTCCTGGAATGAAAACTTCAAAAGAAAGTCTGGGCCCTATTAAGGCCTCTGGCTGATCAATTAGCCTTGGGATTGCCTCTGTGATCCCCACAGTTTTTGGCCTTTTCTAGAGAGTGCCTATTGTGGTCTGGTTTGTACCTTTCTGTTGAGGTCAATTTCACCTCCATGCCCTTTGACCTAATTCAATTAATGAACTAAACATTATGACTGAGAGACCCATCAGGTTCCTGAGAAAAGAAGCCAAAGTGTCAGTCTTCCCAAATTAATTTATGGCTTCATTAATCTCATTCGAAAATCAAACAGGACTTTTTGGTGAAACCTCACAAATTTGGAAAAATAAATGGCCAGGGAAAATCAAGGCTTCCCTGGCGGTTCAGATGGTAAAGAATCTGCCTGCAATGAGGGAGACCTGGGTTTAATCCCTGGGTTGGGAAGATCCCCTGGAGGAGGGAACGGCTACCCACCCTAGTATTCTTGCCTAGGGAATCCCACTGAGAGAGAAGCCTGGCAGGCTACAGTCCATGGGGTCCCAAAGAGTTGGACACGACTGAGTGACTTCCACTTTCTTCTCTTAGGGAAAACCAAAAAATTTAAAAGGGGAAAACAGTAATAATTGGGGACTGGCTCATCTTCATTTTAGCATTTCTTATTAAAATAGCAAGTATATGCAAGGTATAGGCAAACATATTAATAGGGAAGAATTAAGAATCCAGAAACAAACTTTATACAAAGAACCTGACAAAGGACACACCTCAAATATAAGGCTAATGGGTAGATTACTTTAAAAACATTCTGAGAAACAATACAATGGAGAAAAGACAGTCTTTTCAACAGATAGTGTTGGAATAACCAGACATCCACATGAAAAAGAAAAAATCTAGACTAAGATCTTACATTCTTCACAATTCAAAACAAATAAAAAATGCAAAACTATAAAATTCCTAGAAGATAACAGGAGAAAATCTAGGTGACCTTGGGCACGACAATGATTTTTTAGACACAACACCAAAGGCACAGCTCATGAAATATCTGATGATAAGTTGGACTTCACAAAAATTAAAAATCACACTGTAAAAACGACACTGTCAAGATAGTGAAAAGACAAGCCACAGCCTGGAACAAAATGCTGCAAAAGACATATTTAATGAAGGATTGGGAATCTAAAATACACAAAGAACTCTTAAACTTCAACAATGAGAAAATGAGCAACTTGATTTAAAAATGGGCTAAAGCTCTGAACAGACACTTTATCAAAGAAGACAGAAGATACACAGATGGCAAGTAAGTATATTAAAAGATGCTCAACAACAACAGAAGGACGGGGGGACTTCACTTGTGGTCCAGGGGGTAAGACTCCGTATTCCCAGTGCAGGGG